AGAATTTCGTCAGACAGCCCTTCAGTATACTGGTCAATAAACGCTGCCTCATTCCATGTCAGGTCTTGAGCCAGCAGCTGGAACTCATTGGTGTACTGAGCGACAGAGGTTTTATGCTGAGTAAGAGCCCTTATTTTGCGGTTAGCTGTTTCAGCTTTCACAGGATTGGCATAAGCAGCGGCAAAATGAGCCTTGAAAGCCTGGAAGTCAGATAGTAAGGGAGAATTCCCCACCAGCAAGGGCGTGGCCCATTTGGCAGCTTGCCCTTTAAGGAGGCTTAAAATGAAACAAACTTTAGCCTTCTCAGAAACAAAGTCCCGAGCCCTGAGCTCAATATACAGATTACATTGGGCAAGGAATGCCTGGAACTCATCAACATTCCCACCGAAACGATCAGGAGGATTTATTGGGCAACGTGGGGGAGGTGTACCAGCATTTGCTACAGCAACAGCATTTGTAGCAGCCTGTTGTTGCAAAGCAATCACAGCTTGAGTTAAGTGCTGTACCTGTGCTAGCATTTCCTCCATGGGGTCCACACCTCCGGTTGCTCCGTCTTCCATGGTGGGGATGTGTGAGCGTTGTGGGTGCTGGCAATCTGTCACGGCAGGACCAGGGGGCGTGACACAAGCAAGCAAAAGTCCAGGAACAGTCCGAGGTCAAGCCGGGCAAACCAGGTAGCAAGGTTCAAGCAGGTTTAAATCACAGTCCAAAAGCAGGGTCAGACATACCAAAGTTTCAAGTCCATAAATCACAACAATACCAGAGGAGTCAGAGATGAACGCAGGGTCAACAAAGCCAAAGGTCAAAAGCCGAGGATCAAGCCGAGAAGAATTCCACAAGGTCTGGAGCAGAGATGCAAGGATTCAGGTCCTGAACAAACGACGTTGCCAGCACAAATGACTGCTGGCAACAGACTTGCATATATACAGTGCTAGCTAATCAACTCATTAGCTAGCCAGGAGTGAGGACAGGATCCTGTCAGTAATCAGGGCTAAGAGATCTTCTGGCACGCATGCGTGCATTCTGCCTTCGCTCTCTCAGCTGTTGTCTTCTTACATTCCTGAGCCTGGTTACAGGTGGAGGCGAGTCTGATAATGAATTACTGGGCTGCAGCAGAGACTGATCCCTTGCAGGTGTTCCCTGGGAGGCTCTATCCTCCTCACCACTTAGATAGCTTTCAGCTACAGGATCCAGTCTTTGCCTTTCTGCTGCAGTACTGTCCTCAGGAGCCTGTTCAGGGTCCTCAGGAGCCTGTTCAGGGGCATCAGCAAAGGCAGGCATGACATCAGCAGAGGCAGGCATGACATTAGGATTGTCTTGTATTTTGGAATATCGGGATTATTGGTTGATGTTGTTCTTGTACTACCCCTTAAACGTTTCCTTGCCTGGTTTACTTATGTTATGCCAATAAAGGTTTCTGTTTTGTGTTCTGTGATTCTTGCGCATGGCCCCTCTGTAGTGCTTTTTCAGTTGCTTTTAGATCAGCACCCTCATCCCACCTAAATGTGGTGCAGGATTCCAAATTGTGGGATTGGGGGGCATCATCCAGCTCTTCTCTGGGAGGGACTCTCCTTTGAAATGGAAATCGTCAGCTAAGTTTTGCAGGTGGCTCTTGCTGATAAGAAATTTACGAAATGCTTTCTTTGGCGAGTTGTGTTTATGGCTCACTGCCGGGCTCTCTGAGTTGTAGCTCTCATGAGCTTCAAATCCTGGAAAGCAGAATGAAGAACATCCGGCTGCCCTCCTTGCCTTTGATAGCCTTTGGACCGCCCTAGTTACAAATGCGCTTCTTCCTTTTTGTATGCTTGTATCTATATATACTTGCCCCATTAAGTTGCCATTTCATGCATCAGCTGAAGTTGGTTCCAGTCCATGAAAGCTTCTGGTGCAAGACATTATGGTCTTTAAGGTGCCATGGGGCAGTGTGGGTTTTTCAGTCTCAGAAGCCTACAAATACATGACAGCGATCTGTTAAAACAAAATGGACCAACAAATGAGATATTACTTGTTCTGCAAGTCAGAGTTATTATTTTTTTAATCAGGGCAGTCAGGCCTCCTTTAAGCAGCTATGCACAGAGAACAAGCGGGGAGGGGAGCACACTAATAACCAGAGAAATGCCACTGCCAGCAAATCCAATTAGGTGCAATTACGTTTTGATGAATAATTCTTAACATGTTTTGAATATCCTTGTCAGGGGAAACAGTTCAACAATAGATACAGTGGTGCATCATTTTCTAACACTCATTTTGTCAAACAGCCGGGGTCTCTCTCACTGATTGAACCTGTTGCAGTTCACCGCCCAAAATAAGTATGGGGGCTTTCAACAGTTCCCCAGTTGAATTTCTCCCCAGATTTTGGGGTTCCAGACAACCCCATGGAAACATCCAGCTAAAGTACTTCCTTTAGCTAGCTAGTCCAGTAGAAGACCTGAAATGGATTAGCATGCAGTCAGGGTCTTGGGAGACCCATGGCTAGGATTCAGGAATGGATCTACTGGAGCAACTTCATCACTTCTGTCTTCCTGTGAGCCTATGAAGCTGCTATACCCAGAGTCCGACCAGTGGTCCATCTTGCTCAGTCTTGCCCATGGAAACTAAAGTCCAGTGGCACCTTAAAGGTTAACATTTATTTCAACATGAACTTCCACAAATCACAGCTCACTTCTTCAGATAAGTGGAAATTGAACCAGGAATCCTTTTAAAGGGGAAGATTCCAGGGGAGGGGAAGTGTTAAGACAGAGAGTGAATTTTGTCACAGATCTTTCAAGTGTAAATTTTCTGAGTGGGATAAAAGGAGGTTAAAACAAGGTTAGGTGTGGATCCTGTCACAAAACTGTGTGAAGTCTCTGTGTGTCTGAAACAGTGCTAGCAGTTACAAATAATGGATGATGAGAGAAGTCAAAGGCTTGAACACATAACCAAGTTGATAAGTTTAAGTGAAAATTAACTGATATTGGTACAAGGTTATAGTCCAGTAAAACATGCTAAGAACAGTCAATCAAAATGTCTGTAAAGAGGATCCTGTAGAGCTATTAGAGATAGTTGTGAGTAAGGAAATCCAAGTCTCTCTTTAAACCAGGATAGCATGTAGTGTTTAATTTCTTGATGAGTTCTCATTCATCACTTTCACATTCTGTGTTCCCTTTGAAGTTTTTAAAAATAAAATAGTGACTTTCAGTTCTGTAATAGAATGTCCAGGGAGATTAAAGTGTTTCTCCCACTGAGTTCTGGCACTGCTACAACTACTAAAACTGCCAGCTGCTGTCCAAGGTCTTGGCCAGAGAGAGACTTCTTTCCCAAGCCCTTCTACCTAAGGTCCTCTAACTGAGGTCCCTTCTGCATGCAAAGCAGGTGCTCTTCCAATTAGCTGCGGCTCCTCTCCTTAAGCTTGTATCAAGTCAGACTGCAGTATTATCCTGTCTGGCAGAGTCTCTCTGGGGTCTCAGGCAGAGAAGAGTCTTTCCAAACATCTGTTCCCCAAGATCTTTTAACTGGTGATGCCAGAGACGGAGCTGGCATCCCGCTGCATGAAAAGCACGTCCTCTAAGACCCTCCCCTCTGAAAGCATTCTTGATTTGCTGCTGATTCTGAAGGTCAAAAGATGTCCACAAAGCACCCGTTCCAGTCCCCCTCTAGAGCAATCGGCTTCATTTTGGTTGAAAGGTACTTTGCAATTACTGCTCTCACGTTAACAGCTGGCCCTCTGCTGATTCCAGTCCTACAAGTAGTGCTTGCAAGGTCTTTAAAACAATCACTACATCTCCAGATATAAGAGGACGTAAAAGGCTGAAAAGGTTTTGGTCCTCAAATGAAGAGGCTCCTCCAGAGACTTGAGTGCAAGGATGGTTAATAGACCGTTTTGTGTATGCCATTTGGGAATGATCAAACAGGAAGGCCAAACAGATGCTGGATTCTTGTAGAGATGCAGACCAGGTCTTTTGGGGATGATTGGTTTGTCTACTTGGTCTAAAAGCTACAGACAAATGAACCCGTTTTGAATTATTTATTGTTTTTCAAAGTTAAGGCTGCCTCTTTTTAAAAACCTCACATCATTAATCCTGCTTCTTCTCAGGTACAGAGCATTAAAATCCTGCCCTCTTATCCCTAGAAATCATACCCAGCAATCTTTCTAGTTTCCAAGATTTCTTCTGGCTCTGCCTTGTGTGACCTTGGGTCAGTCACCATTTCTTTCAGAGCTGTTCTCTCAAGGGCAGTTCTCAAAAGAGCGCTCTCAGCCCCACATACCTCACACGGTGTCTCTTGTGGGGAGGGGAAGATTGTAAGCTGCCCTGAGACTCCTTTGGGTAGTAAAAGGCAGGGTATAAATCCAATCTCCTCTTCTCTTTTTTCATAAGGCAAGCTATAAATTGTGTAAAATTAATAAAACTGGGGTTTAAATGAAGTGAAACAAAATAATGTGTTCATAACCTGTTTAGAGTAACAATTTTTTTCCTAACATACTTTGAACCCAAAATAATAAGCTTTAAGATAATGCTGAACAGGCTGTTTTAGAATCAGTTAATGCATGCATACATGAGCATACATGAAGCTGCCTTATATTGAAGCAGACCATCAGTCCATCGAGATCAGTGTTGTCTACTCAGGCTGGCAGCAGCTCTCCGGGGTCTCAGACAGAGGTATTTCACATCACCTACTACCAGGCCCTTTTAACTGAAGATGCTTGGGGTTGTACCTGGGACCTTCTGCATGCCAAGCAGATGCTCTGCCACTGAGCCAAAGCCCCTCCCTGGTGCAGCAGGCAGATGTGAGCATTCAACAAGAACTAAAAATTGGAGGGGGCTCTCAGGGAGTATGGAGAAATTGGGGGGTCACAAGCATGTCCCTACCTGTAAAACTGGTACAGCCCTTTTTCTGTCAATGGGAGATTGTATTGGTTTGACATTACACAACGCTTCTGGGGCATTGGGGGAGATGTGATATGTTTAAATCAACAAATACATTTCCCCTATTGATTTGTTTTAATTGTTTGCTCCTTCCAGCCCTCTTTCTACAGGGGCCTGGCAGGGTCCCAGGTCACCCTGAGCAGCCTGGTGAACCAGAGCCGGGTCATGTTGGAGGAGCATGCGCGCCACCTACTGAACGAGCCGGAGAGAGCCACGATGGGCTACTACCTGGATGAGTACAAGGAGAGCAACATCTCTGTGGACGCCCTCGTCATGGCCCTCTTTGAGCTGCTCAACACTCATGCCAAGGTAAGGCAGAGAGGCCCAGCAGAGGAACGGGAAGCGCAGGATTACCCAGTTAGAAGTTAGGCCTTGGGCGAGGACCTGTACTCATTGAAACTTATAGAAGAGAACATAAGAGCAGCCCTGCTGGATCTGATCAGTGGTCCGTCTGGTCCACCCTCCTGTTTCACACAGTGGCCAACCAGATGCCACTGGGAGGTCTACAAGCTGGGCGCAAAGGCCAAGGCTCTCCCTGGTGGTTGTCTCCCAGCACTGACATTCAGAGGTTTACTACCTCTGAATGTAGTTGGGGAGGAACCAACCCTATCCTCATATTCCACTCCACAAAGTTTGAAGCCTACGAAGCCTTTCTCCAACTTAAGTGGCCCTCCCACTGGAGGAAGAACCACTTAAGTTGGAGGACAACTTCTTAGGCAGGTGGAAGGTTCCTTGGGGGATGTTTGGACCCAGCCCAGTGTTTCCATTTAATCATCACTTCTAATAGCCATTTGTCAAATATCCCTCTGAACGAGGGGCCATCACAGTGTCCTGTGGCACCTAATTCCACAGTTAAATGACTCACTGAGTGAAGGAGCACTAATTCTCATCAGTGCTGAACTTACTGCCCATCACCTTCCATTGGGCTTGTCACTGGCACACAGATTCAAGAACATGGAGAGTATCCAAGGATCTTCCAGTCAGAGATGCATACGAACATTCTCCCCATCCATCTTGATCCCTGAGTTTTTGGCAGTCTGAATTACCTGTTCTTGTTTCCTCAGTGAAACTGATGGCACACACATTTTATATTTCTGACGGGCATGGGCCCATTAATAAAACCCTGCACAGAAGCAGTCTTGATGTGATCGTACGTGTGATTGTGCCAAGATTCTTTTTGTGCAGTGTTTTACCAGTGTGTAGCAGTGTTCCCTCTAAGCTGAGTTAGTGTGAGCTAGCTCACAGTTTTTTAGCCTCTGGCTCACACATTTTTGTCTTGGCTCAGGAAAGATGGCTCCAGAGCAAACTAATTTATGCAGGAGCCAAATCGCTTGCTCACAACTTTAATGCCAGTAGCTCACAAAGTAGAATTTTTGCTCACAAGACTCCAGAGCTTAGAGGGAACATTGGTGTGTAGTAGGAACATATTTGCTGATGAGTAAAATACTGCATAAAATGAATCTTGGTGCAATCATTTGTCGAGGTAGTCCTTTTGCAGCACTTTATCGATGTGCAAGTGCATGTCAGTAACGTGGAGCATTATCAGGCTACAAATAAACAGAAGGAACCAGAAGCTGGGGCAAACTGCACATTTCAGTTCAAGCATTCATTTTTGTCCCAGTTGAACTAGATTTAAGAAGGGAGTGCACTGCAACACAGATTGAAATTGCAGAACGATAATGGAGCAGAACATAGAAAACCTGTTCATCCCTGTATTAAGCCTTTCTTTCCTTCCTTCCCTCCTGCCCAGTTCTCACTCCTGTCAGAGGTCAGGGGCGTCATCTCTCCTCAGGACCTTGACCGCTTTGACAACCTGGTCCTGAAGAGGGAGATTGAATTCATGAAGGCCCGGCAGCCCTCAGGGACAGGGACCGGCACAGACTCCTACTCCATCATGTCTTACAGCGACACCGTCTCTTCTACCGGGAGTCACTTCACCTCCACCACCGTCAGTTCAGCTCGGGTAAGTGAGCTTGCTTCTCTGTGAGTGCTCTGGTGTATCTCATGGTCCCCTTAAATCCCTCGCAGTTAAACCCTTCTGTGTTGTAGAACAAATTTAGAGTCCAGTGGCATCTTTAAGACCAACAAATGTTTATACAAGGTGCACACGAAAGCTCATGCCTTGAATAAACCTTTGTTCGTCTTAAAGGTGCCACTGGACTCTAACTTGGTTCTACGACTTCAGACCAACATGGCTGACCACCTGGATCTAACTTCTGAGTTGTTTCCACAGACCCACAGTGCACACACTCGACACAGGAAGAGCCAGCGGCTGACACAGAATTGTTCCTGTGGGCCAAACTAGACATTTGATGGAGATCAGGGACGGGGGGGGGGGGGGGGGGGGGGATGTCTGCCCTCAACGTATAAGAGATGCTTCCAGCATTTTCCCCATTTGAACTTTTCTCCAGATTTGTGGATTCTGAATGAGAAGGGATGGAGGAGGAATCTAAAGGCAGGATGCTGATCCCTAAATAGGAGTCTTGGGATACCTTAAAGATGAGCCAAGTTTTATTTTCACGTAAACTTTTGTGGGTTGAGTTCATTTTATCAGATGCATGGAGTAAATGCACCATGGGGCAACCACACACTGGGAAGGCCATGCTGGGGAGGGGTGCAGCCAGAGGATCCCCCACCATCGAACTGCCACAGCATCACTGCGGCCAGCCTCCCCTCTGTCCCTGGATCTGCAGTGGGTGGTGGCAGTTTCAGGCCAGCAGCAGGGGTAATCCACTGTAGGGCAGTGGGGGCCCCCCTCTGACCATCCTACTGGTGGTTCTCGCTAGCCCCTGTCCTGAAGCTGCCCCACCTTGGCACCCAGTGACCGGGATGGGCTAGGAAGCAAAAACAGCCACGGGAGGATCCCTTCCCCCAACAGAGGAGGGAAGGGAAGAAGAGCAGGGTCCCATGCGGCTGGGACCCCGAGCTTGAGACAATGGCTGCTCAAGCCCACCCACCAGCTTGCAGCAGTGGCGGTGGCTCACACTCGCCTGCCTGCTCACAACCACAGTTCCCACCCATCTCACAGGAGGGCAATGGCTACCCTTATTTGGGTTCGGGGTGGCTCCTACAAGAGAAGAGAAGGCATCAGTGAGTCTGGTTCCGATCCTGGACTTTCCCCCAGGACTCCAGAATCACTAAGATCGCCCCAAGGGAATGCCAACTTGGCAGAATCATTAATAGCCAGAATTACAAGCAGAAGTGGGCGAGTTCAGGGGGAGTTTTGTGAATGGTGCCATCCGAACAGTTACCACCTTTGAAGCAAAAGGGCTTAGCAGGGTGTCACCCTGCTTAGGGTTGCCTGGTCAGTGTCACTGCAGCAGGGTTGAAAACTGCATATGTTTGATGGGGGACCATTTGGCTTGAAGAAACAGAAAATGGTGTGAAAATAGATGCTGATAAGTTTGAACCTTATGAGCAAAAGGCAACATCAGCAAGAAGGTGTTTGAGGCTAACAAGCTGCAAGCTGGCAACATCCAGGAGCATCCGTTTGAGCTTTTGACCTGGAATCCAAGCATTGGGACTCCTCCATTTGTCCTGTTGTTCCTCTTCAAATCCCACTGGCAGCCCAGTTTGCACGCACGTGTGAATGTCTGGAGAGCAGGTTTTTGTGATCAAGAAAGGGTGTAAAACTCCCAGAATTTCCCTTCAGTGAGCCCTTAGGTTTTAATTCACCTGGTTTTAGGAGGATAATGTCTGCCTTCATTTCCCAAATTGTGCAACCTGCCTGGTAACCTAGAAGTAACAAAGCTTTTTCATCAGGTTCAGCTTCTACCACTAGTTATGGCTGAACAAAGTTCGTGTCTGGTGGCTTTCAGAGCAACAAAGTTTTATTCAAGGTATAAGCTTCTGTGTGCACCCACACTTCTTCAGATACATTGAAATGGAAGTTACCGGTCCATACATATATGAACATACATGGACTGGTAACTTCCATTTCAATGTGTCTAAAGTGTGTGTGCACACGAAAGCTTACACCTTGAATAAAGCTTTGTTGGTCTGAAACTTTGTTCCGCTGCTTCAGCCCAACACGGCCGCCCACCTGGATCTGTCATCATTAGTCATGGTGGTTGCTTTCATTGTTGGCTGCTCTTTTTAGGTCATTGTTTTGCTTTTTCAGACAGCTGGTTTTTAGTTTAGGGAGGTTTAGGGAGGTTATGCGTTTTGATTGCTTTTTTATGTAAGCTGCCTTGAGGCGGTGGTCGTTTTAAACCGAAAGCAGGGTGTTAATCCACTAAGTAAATTTTTAAAGCCCTCACTCTACCGTGGCGTTTGCGTGGCCACCTCGGGGCCAGTCACTCTTTCTCTGAGCCTGATGTACCTCGCAGGTTTGTCCTGAGGATAAATCTGGATGTCACTGTGAGCTCCCTGCAGGAATGGCAGGATAGAAATGTGACGGACGGACAGGCCACGTCAGTGTTTATTTACTGGGAAAACATTGTGGTGCAGGGCTTCAGAGTGTCGGTCTAGGACGGAGAAGTTCAAATCCCCTCTCGGCCATGAAGTTCACTTTGTGAGTTTAGGCTCCAGTCGCTTGATTGATGTAGTGTTTATTCAAAACATCTCCTTTCCACCTTTCCCGCCTTATAGAACAAAGTCTTGCGCTTGGTCTTAGTCTATCCTACCTCACAGGGATGTTGTGAGGATGAAATGAGGAGAGGATAGCTTTGAGGAAAGGGAAGTCTTTGAGAAAAGGTAGGCTAAAAAGGAATTACGATAGGTGACAGGATTGGCCAAGCGTGTTCCCCCTTCCAGATATAGATTCCGTTCTCCACTGTTTCTGCTGTCCCTTCTGGGGGGTGGGGGTGGAGATGGGCCGTCCGTCCTCCATGTCCTCCTCCCACCTTCCCTTCCCGCAAGCCCGGGGCAACCCTCTAATGTCTCATTTTGCACGCTGTCTAATTAAGTTACCATAATTGCCTCTAAATGTGCAGCCTTGCAGCCCCTACATTAATTTGCTGGCCATAAAACAGCTTTCATCATAGCTGCACTAGTGGCCTTGGAAATCTGATGTCTTTTCATCAGATGGCTTGCTGAAAGCTGTGGCTGGGAGGCACACACGACATTGGGGGGGGGGGGGAGATGCCCAAAGTGTGGTCACTCCTTGGGGCCGGCCTCTCTGTTTCAGGGGTTGTTTCTGTTGGCAGAGTTTAAATATGCAAAGGATGTGGAGCACCGACTGTTCAGAGAAAAATAAGTGGGGTTATTAAAGAAGAACAAAACTGTTATAAAACATGGAAGAGAGAGAGCGAGCCTTAACTGTCTAACCTAACTGCTGTGAGAGGAACAGCAGCAAGGAGGAAGCTCTGCAGGAGCAGAAAGTCTCCAGAAGAGCCAATCAGGAGGCAGCAAGGACACAATTTGAAAAAGTGGGAAGTCCCTAGTCCTTCAGCTGTCCCCCTGTAGGATGATCTTCAGATCTTCTTCATAAGGCTGCACTACAGATCTCGCATATTCCAACAGTTTCCACCCAGGGGTTCTGCTCTGAGTGGAACACAGCATGGCCCCTCTTTCTTTGGGAACTTCCAGACAACACCATGTTCTTTCCAAGCACTGGCTTGTGAGGGTCCTGCGCAGTGTTCCCTCTAAGCTGAGTCAGTGTGAGCTAGCTCACAGTTTTTTAGCCCCCGGCTCGCACATTTTTGTCTTAGCTCAGGAAGGATGGCTCCGGAGCAAACTAATTGATGCAGCAGCCAAATCGCTTGCTCACAACTTTAATGCCGGTAGCTCACAGAGTAGAATTTTTGCTCACACGACAGCTTAGAGGGAGCATCGGTCCTAAGTAAGGTTGCCAGCTTTGGGCTAGGAAACACCTGGAGAGTCTGGGGGGGTGGAGCCTAAGTAGGGTGCCATTGTTCTGCCCCCCTCTTTAAAGGGCCACTTTTCCAGGAGGTCTCCTGGAATGACGACTGATCTCTGGAGATAGATAAAAAAAATTGATTTTATAATATTTATTGATAAGAATTACAACAGTACAAGAAATGTATCAACAAAGACAGTGTGTACAAAGTCAACACAACAACATTGTTGTGATGCAGCATGATATCCTAACCTCATATAAGAACAATAATCTGATTCCAATTTCTAGGAGTGTCAAAATAATTTGATTACCTTGTAAAAGACAGAGCATATACTCTGACTGTAAAGTGTATTGTGGACTTCAGTGTTGTAGAAGAAAGAAGCTCAGACTTGGGACTATAGCTTTAGAAGTGAATCCAGGCTGAGTCATTAGAGTTAGAGGGGAGGAGGTCCCGATCTGCCATGTATTGCAAAAGAGGGAACCAGGTCTCTGGAGATAGGTGAAGATGGGTCGCCATGTTTGTCTGTCTGTAGCAGGAGCAAAAAACCAGAGTCCAGCGTAGCCACCTTAAAAGGTAAAGGTTCCCTTGCTCGAAAGCCAGTCGAATCCGACTCTAGGGTTGCGGTGCTCATCTCCGTTTCAAAGCCGAAGAGCCAGCGCTGTCCGAAGACGTTTCCGTGGTCATGTGGCCGGCATGACTAAACACCAAGGCGCACGGAACGCTGTTACCTTCCCACCAAAGTGGTACCTATTTATCTACTTGCAATTTCTTGCTTTTGAACTGCTAGGTTGGCAGGAGCTGGAACTAGAGACGGGAGCTCACTCCGTCATGCGGCACCCGGGTCTCGAACTGCTGAACTACTGACCTTCCACAGCCTGCAGTTCAGCGTCTTCACCACTTGAGCCACCGCAGCTCCTGTAGCCACCTTAGAGGCTACCAAGATATGTGGCAGGGGAGGAGCTTTCGTGAGTCGCTGCTCACTTCATCAGATACCTCCTGATCTCTGGAGGAAGTTCTTTGGAGGGAGGACATGACGCCCTGCTGCGGTCCCCTCCACTCAGAGTGGTGCTGGGCAACAAGAGTGGCTGCTGGGAGGCCTCTTCCGCCACGGTGGCAGGCCTGACAACTGCGTTTGGAGCAGTGCCCATCTGGTCCTCCCCCT